TGTGCAAATTCCACACAGTCGCCCGAGGGTGGAATCAAACCTGGGTCCCTGGCACTGTGTGGCAGCAGTGCTAACCACTGAGCTATCATGCTGCCCCAAGTACCTGCTCCTAGTTCTTGGGTTCAGATTAAATGATAGGACTTCACTGCCTAACACACACTGCAGTTAACAATATTCACTGGCTCTGGTCCAAATGAATCCCACTCCAGTGTATGTTTTGTCATATTTATGTCTCTGATGTAGACCCTGTTTTGTTTCTTGTGTCAGCATTTTGCTTCATAGCCTGGGATTTGCATCCCGATTCAGTAATTGTCTCCCTAGCAATGTTAACTGGTACTGGTGTGACAAATTCATTACCATACTCCCTAACATTGATAATTTTGGTGTTTTTCTTAATGTTATCTGTCTTTAACTATGTGTTGATTTTTCATGGCCGCAGCATGGCAAATATACACACACAACTGGGGAGGGACAAAAAAGTACCTGACTCTGTTCGGAGTTCAGTTTGGTTGGAAAGTTGTTGGGCAACTGAAGCCCCAGTGTACTGTACGGTGAGCAGAGCTGAGGGCTGTGTATGATGTGTTACCTGTATTTCTGTATACTCATCGGTGTATCCTGATTTAATGAACTACTTTATATAACATTCCCACAGTTTCGGGACTTTGAGAAGTTTGTTACAAACATACACAAAATAAACAAAATCCTCCCACAGATAATTGTTTCTCTGTATCCTCTCACAGCACTCCACAGTGATTTCTCAAAGTACCACCTTCTGGAAATCCTTGATATACATCAAAATCTACCCACTAGTGACAGCACATTAGTTTTGTGAACAGAATCCTGTATGTATCAATACCATCATCTACCTATTTTTAATATTTACACAATTGTGTGGCAAATTCAAAGATCCAACCTTGCCTTATATTCTAGGAACTTCCAATTCCTGTGGTATGGAGCAACATCATGAGTGCATGTGTTTTATAATCCTGCTGGGGTCTCTTATTTGAAGAAGAAGTCTGAACACACAGCAATTACCCAGCAGATCTACACTACAGATTTCATGTATTTAACACAAAACGCAATGTTGTTTATATAAAGAGAACTGAAACAAAATAAACCATTAACTTCACACTATAACTTTATAAAATGATACCATAAGCTCAGCTTTACGCTTCCCCAAGAGTTTCCTTATCTTGTGAAATCTTAAAGTTTTATTTTTCTGGGTCCAACCCAAAAGGTAACAGCCCCTCTGGAATTTCCTGTAATTTTCCTTGAGGTACAAATTATACAGCAGTCCTTCCATTCACTTTTTTGGCTTGAGATTCTCCAATATTTTTAAAACACCTCATGACTGAGCCTCTTCAGCTCCACAAGCAGGCTGTAGACTGTTCACAATGCACCCCCCCCACCCCCCCCAAACAATGAAGGTTTCTTTAGTGAGTTGCAGGCTGGAGCAAATCTTCCAACTGCTCTTCCCTCTCATAGCCCAGACTAAACTATTTGCTTATGTTTGCTTACAGCAAACACACTGATTCATTAAGTAAAAAGGCTCCAACTGGATATACTCCCTCCTTGAAGTGACATGCTTTCAGATGATTCGAACAAAAATACAAACAAATTATTTTATCTTTAGTACAACTCCTTGATTCTGCAACCTATGTGAATAATTTTTATTGCTAATAGATTTTGACAACTTGTCCAGACTCCCTGATTCCATTACAAACTTCAGGAATGGATTATTCATCGACTGAGCTGGTTTTATCAGTTTCCCATTTTTACAGTAAAACTTTAGAATAAACATTTTGTTTTTCATTAAAACTTATGAGCTAAATGTTCACAAAATGTGTGTGATCTGACATTCATCATTTACAGACTTGTGTAGATACTAGAGTTTAGAGCTAACTCTAATCAGTTGAAATGTAACAAGAATATTATCTTACAGTCAGGACTTGGGGCAATATATTAAATCTTCCATTGCTGGTGTAGGTTTTCTGCTTTCATTTATCTCTTGAAAAGAACTAATGGTTTTCCTAGTAACCTGCAAGGATAAGGCAGTGAGGAGCAATGTTACTGGTGCAGTGTGAAATGAACTGAATCTGCTATTGCAGAGATAAATACATGACGAATGGGTATTACAATAAGGCTCAGTAGGTTGCTTAGTTTCTGTGAAAGGGCTGAGGGACATCTTGTAGGTTCATAGACACCACTAATGAGCTTTCACCTTGCCTGATATCAACAGCTTGTATTGAACCAAGATCAAAGCTGTTTGAGTTGAATTAGGTTAGTATTTTTACATCCTCCATCAAATTTGGAACAATTGCCATTCAATCCATAATTTGTGATTGGATTCAAACGTAGCTGATACTTGCAGAAGCAGTTTTTTTGACCTGTATTAAAATAGAATAGAATAGAATCCCTACAGTGGGGAAACAGGCCCTTTGGCCCAACAAGTCCACACCGACCCTCGGAGGATCCCACCCAGCCCCAACCCCCTAATCTACACATCCCTGAACATTATGGGTAATTTAGCATGGCCAGTCCACCTAGCCTGCACATCTTTGGACTGTGGGAGGAAACCCACACAGACAGTCACCCAAGGGTGGAATTGAACCCGGTCCCTCGCACTGTGAGGCAGCAGTGTTAACCACTGATTGGTTTCATTACATTTCAACAGATTTAAGATGTAGAGGTTCCCTAGTATAACCGTACGAATCAGAAATGACCCATTTTAAATTCCACCCTGTGCTATATTTTGTACTAGTAGTTTGTTCAATCAAGGCTGCTAATGTGGGTTAAAGATAACAAAACTTGTTGGGATTTTTGCTTCTGTTTGCCATCTAGTAGCCGCCTTGAGAAGCAGTTATTTATGCATGGGCTTGTCAGTTGAGACCCAGACTAGCCTTGATGCTGATATCCTCTCAGTCTGCTGGTACACATTCTACACGTCAAACATAAACCGGTCAACTTACTTAGAGGGGCATTGAAACTGTCTAACTCTAAGTACTGAAGGACTAACGGGGTCTGCGTACTGCCAGTATTGTCAGGGGAAGCGCTGAAGGACTGACTGTGCCTAATTGTATCTCAGCGTGAAGCCTTCCCTTTAGGACACGTGGAGAATAAACTGGGGTGCTACAGTCAATTATAGCTACACAATGTTGTTGTACGCTGCATACAGACCATCTGAAGGTGATGTTCGTAGTTCTTCCAAGAAAAGCTAAAGTCTCTTCTCGAGGGAGAGAAGAGGAGACGGTAATATTTGAATTCTACGCCCCTGAATTCAGAAGGAAAACTTGTCTTGATCATAGCTAGGTAATCCCTGTCCAAAGTTGTACATGTCAGTTTAGAACCATAGAACCATAGAACCCCTACAGTGTGGAAACAGGCCCTTCGGCCCAACAAGTCCAGATATGATGCCCAGAGGTCCTTTAGCTGATCAGTTATCAGTTGTGGCTCACACAAAGGACAGCTCACTGAATGACGTACCAGAAAGGATTCTGGCATCGATATGGAGAGACAGAGTGAAGAAACAAAGAAAGAACAGAACTCTACAGGCAGGAAATCGACTTTTGTTTTTATATTTGACTGAAAATTAGACAATTATGGAGCTAGAGGCTACATTCTGCATTAGTTATTGAATGGAATGCTCCCTTTAATAAAACACTAAACCGACTGTCTTGAAAAAAGATTCTGGTTTCAGTGCATCCTCCCACATCCCGATTTCCTTAAATAAATGTCAGCAAGATACCTCCTCAAAAACTGCTCAGTAATTAAATTGATGGCCCCAGGGCTCTATAGTCTGTGGTGCTGGTTGTGAAGGTCCTGTTTTAATTTAAATATTTTAAAGCTGCAGACATTTGGTTGATAATTTTGACTTTTTTTTTAACTATAAAATAACATTGTCGAATGGGTTATAATGAGATCTGTTAATGCTGATCAGTAAACGGGAAATCTGTGTTATTAAAGCAGTTAAACTGTTTTCATTTTTAAAAAATGCCCAAGTTGCTTTGCTTCATCACTGTAAATACAGAATTGTTCTTTCACATGGTGCACGTAGAGATGTGTCTCTGTGCTGATATGAGTGATTATTGCGTTTGAATAGCAAATGGGAATGCCAGAAGTACAGTTAAGAAGAATGCCTGGGGGTGGAGGGTAAAAGCTGTGTTATGTACACAAAGATTAAAAGTCTGAGGTAATCTTGGGTTGTTAGAGACAATATGGGGTGTGAGTGGGTGGGAATCTTTGATCTGTTGGTAAGTTAGTAAGATAATTATATAATTTAAGTAAGAATGGCTTTAACTGTCACTTCTAAAGTTCCAAGATTGACCTTTTTCCTCCAGTTTCACCATTCTCAAAGGTTATAGAGGTAACTACACAGTAAATAGAGCAAAGTGTGGAGCTGGAAGAACACTGCAGGTCAGGCAGGGGCCCCGACCTGAAACATTGACTTTCCTGCTCCTCTGATGCTGCCTGGCCTGCTGTGTTTTTCCAGCTTCACACTGTGTTATCTCAGACTCCAGCATGTGCAGTTCTTGCTGTCTCAGGGCAAAAAGCTTTCCCTGTGACACTGACCAGCTTGGGAAAGCTTTTATCAGTAAAACTGAAGTGGTCCCAACCATGGTCACAGAGAGAGTGCTTCTGCTGCTTAACAACTGATTGTGAGAAACTTCACACACGTATCACATCACCACCAGCTTCCTTCTCACCAGATACTTCCCCCCAACCAGCTGGAATGAATGAGGCAGAACCTCAACACAGGGTCTACAGGCAAAGGATCACCTTTTATGATGTATCTGAGCACCAGTGCATCCAGTAGCTCAGGCTATCACATCAGGTTACTGTTGATAATCGGCAGCCTCCTGGAATAGTACCACCTCTCTCGTGGTGCAAGTGGGCACATACAGTTAGCAACTGGCAACGTGCATGTCACAGCTGTCTTTGTTCATACAGTTGACTTGAGCTTTAACTGATGTGTTCACTTTTTTAAAAAAAAATCTTTCTAGGTGTTGAAAGCAGTCTACGAGTAACTCGATGCAAGCAAATAATACAAAAACTTCCAGAACACAACTACATTGTGGCAAAATACTTGATATGCTTTCTTAACATGGTGAGTATTGAAAAAGAAATCATGCAATGCTCTTTGTGTCATTTATAAAGATTGACATTTCATTGGTTGTATATGTATGCAGTTTTGTAAGTACAGTGGTATGCAGTAGAGTAGAGGATCTTAAATAAGATCTGTAAAGAAAAGTTTGCAGAATCTTGGCGAGCTAACACAATCCTGATACTCAGCCACAGTATTGACAGGGTGTTCACCAACAGGAAAGTGGGCACTGTGCTACTTGGTGCTGTATCTTGATAATTCTCCCTCCCTCACCCACCTCAGCATTTCTCGTTGTTTATTTTTGTTAGACCATTGTTCCTCTGAAATAAGCAACCTTTTCTTTTAAAAAAAAAAGTGTTCAAATTCCCAGGGCTTGAATATCAGCTCTGGATGGTGGATTCAAACTGGGATGGGATTGTAATGGAATTGGGTCTGGTCCCTTTCTCTGAGGACCAGATGTACAATTTTCAACAGAGGTCAACAGATGACAGTTAGAAGTGGGCAACCTGACTAACTCTTCCCCTCCGTCACGTAGAAACATTACTGCCAGTGAATTCAGCACAAGTTGGGGTTTAAACCTGCGACCTGCTGTATATTTGGGCCCTTGGTGAATGCATAACTCTTGCACAACTCTGCAGCGTGGATGTGCTATTTGAGACATTCATAGTCTGTTAGAGGGAAGAGCTAACATTGTATACATTTATTATTAGAAATATCACTGAAATGCCCAAGATTAATAGCTATTCGTGTTAATGTCAAGGCAGTTCTGAAATAGAATTCTAATTCTTCAGCCTGTTGATTTTTTTTTTTAAAGCAGAGATTCTGATAGTGATACTAACACTTTAAACTGGGAAAGCAATTGAGATCATTACTGAATTTTGTACTGATCTGAATTAATTGCCTGCAGCCCCTCATGCTGAAACTGCTAGTTGTTTTATTATTTCAAAACCCGATACAGCACTTCTGAAGAATGGTCAAGACCCAAAACATCAGCCTTCCTGCTCTTCTGATGCTGCTTGGCCTGCTGTGTTCATCCAGCTCTACATCTTGTTATTTCTGATACAGTGTCTAGCTTCCTGGGGACACACAAAAGCCCACTATTTGAGTTCAGTCATGATAGTTACACTTTCAAGGACAGGAATTTTCTTTTCTCTGGGTGTTGTTCATCCTCGGAATACTGCTTCTGACATCTTTTCATAAAGTCTTTGATAGTTTTTCACTGCTTTGCTTGCCAACAATTTATTCAGCTCCATCTTAAAAATATCCAGTGCTAGGTGGAAATGTGGGATTGGAGTTACAATAAGATTGGCTATAACCTAATCAAATAGCAAAGCAGGTTTGAGGGGCTGAATGGCTTATTCTTGCTCATAGTTTGTATGTAAACTGCATGTTTTTAAAAATGCAGTAATCCTTCAACAATCCTTGGCTTTTAAACCAGTCCCTTTCCCATTTCAGTCCACAATCAAACAGACAGAAAAATAAAGAGATACAGTCTTCACACTCTTTAGTGTAAAATCTTGAGGTAGTTGATCTTTGGCCTGAGAAACGCTTGAACAACATTTAATGGTATTCCATTTTTCAAAGACCTGGCAGATCCCATCACTTCACACCATTCATGTAACATTATTTTTGGAAAGCGTTTGTATATTTGGAAACATTTCTACACCATGGTTCAATGCTTTAAGGAGAGACAGTGATGCAGACCTTGTAACGATGGTGTCTGATGAGTTCTCTGGCTGTTATCCCTGTGCCATCCTGGGCCGTGAAGTGTCAGTTTGAGTTTTCAAAAGCCTATTTGTCCTGTGTAGTTTGTGTGTGTTTCCATGGAAGACAGCATCAGTCACAGGGCTAGCATTTGTTGCCTATCTTAATTGCCCTTCAGAATGAGAGGTGAATTTTCTTCTTAAATTGCTACAGTCCACTCCGTATAGATACGCCCCCACAGTAATTTTTGGAAGGAAGTTTCAGGTTTTTAACCCAGTAACAGTAGAGCAACAAAGATGTAGTTTCAAGTCAGCATGATGTGTGTCTGGGAGGGGAACTTGGAAGTAGTGGTGTTCCCATGTATCTGCTGTCCTTGATTGATTTTCAAAAGTGCTATCAAAAGAGGCTGCAGTCTGTATGATAGATGGTGTACATTGCTGCCACTGTGCATCAGTGGTTCAAGGAATGAATGTTTAAGGTGCTGTATAGGCTGACAGTCAAACAGGCTACTTTATCCTGGATGGTGCTGAGCTGCTTGAATGCTGTTGGAGTTGAACCGGATAAATGGGGAGTATCCCATCACACTCCTGACTTGTGCCCTGTTAGTCGTGCAAAGTCTTTGGGAAGTTAGGAAGTGACACTTCAGAATTCCTAGTCTCTGACCTGCTCTGTAGCAGTATATTTACAGGTCCATTTAGGTTTCTGGTTAATGATAACACACCAGAATGTTGATGGTAGGGGATTTAGCAATCGCGTATTCCAGTGAACATCAAGGAGGCAAGATAAGGTTCTCACTTGTTGGAGATGGTCTTTATCTGGCATTTACGTGATGTAAATGTTTCCTGCAACCTCTCTGCCCAAGCCTGAATGTTGTTCAGGTCTCTCTGTATATGGACACAGGCTGCTTCAGTATCTGAGGAGACACAGTACAGCTGGATGTTGTGCAACCATCAGAGAGCAGCCCCTATTTCTTATCTTGTGATAGAAGGAAGGTTATTAATGCAGCAGCAGGTGATGGTTGGGCCTAGGACACTATCCTGTGAAACTCCTGCAGAGATGTCCTGGGGTTGAGGTGATTGACTTCCAACAATGACAACCAGTAGAAAACTTTTCCTTTCCTTTGAAAATAGCCATTTTACATTAAGATAAATTTGATGAAAGATGTGAGCATTGTAAGATAATTAGCCTTGCAAGTGGGAATAATAGGAATGAATATCTAGAATAGTTAAATCAAAAATGATAACAATGAACTATGTGTAGAAATCTACTCCTTGTTTCTTATCCCAGTCTATAGTGTCTTGTTTCAAAAGCATCTCTAATTACAGATTATCCCAAACTAGATTGAAGCTCCAACCACCCTGTATTGAGATGCTCTGAGGACACCATCTTTGCCCCATACCCAATAGTCAGACTAGCCTTGAACAATGGCAACAGTTAACTAACCAGGCAGTTAAATCTTCATTTTTGCATTGACAATCCAATGTTCTTAACATATTGTGAAAACCTAATTAAGCCCATTGTGTCTTATAGGTATCCCAGGAGAGTATCTTTAATAAAATGAACCCATCAAACTTGGCCTGTGTCTTTGGAGTGAACCTGATCTGGCCCACAAATGGACCTGCAACTTTGCACGCTCTAACTCCAATAAACATGTTCACTGAGCTACTGATTGAGTACTACAGCCAGGTCTTCAGCTGCAGGATTCTGCCCAATGAGGTGCTGCCATAAACACTACTATAAACACTGTCAGTCAACTGATCTTAATGGGTACCCATGTTATTGATGGAAAAGCCAACTGCTGTAGTCTGTTCTGTATTTTATTACATTGACCTCAGACCCTGATTGAATGGCTGTCACATTTTGATGCTTGAATTTTGTTTGTCTCTTGCTTCTTCACCATCTTTGTATCAGCAAGTGATAAAATGATCAGAAGTTGTTTCAATTGGCTAGTTAAGTGCCATTAAAATTCTCGTTGAATTCTCTCTATAAAATGAGAAAACTGATGTTAAAAAGTCAGTGTTTTTGTCTGTATACATGGTAGACTTTTGATAGGCCTGTTACTTTTCCTTTTATTTGTCAAGTTCTAGTTTTGCCTGAATAGTAGGGGAGGTGCAAGTTTGTCCTTTGCCTGCTGAACTGTGGGTATGTGTAGTTCAGGGATTAAAACAAGAAAATTTATATTTCTTAATATTTAACATTTGTGAAAAATCTGCAATTTCTCATGTGTTGTCAGGACAGAATCTTAATGTGACTCACACATTTGTGCCATAAAGTAGTACTAATCTTCTGTTGCACATTGTTGTTAAGGGCTATGAGACCCCAATGTTTCCCTATCCAATAATATTAGTGTAAAAGAGTAATCTAATAAGAGTAAATAAGGCCAAATGTATTTAATGTCACTCAAGTTTAAGGGCACGTTGGCTTCCGAAGGTAAGGGAGTGGTAGTATTATGTAGTGTCTGCAACAAATGTAGAGACCAGTAGTGATGCACCTGTTAAACCAGAAAGCTTCAACACGAAACATTTCTTCCCCTGTGCTAGTTTTACTTTTATATTCTGCTTGAGAATTCTCATTCTGAGTTCTCAGTGACCATTAATGTTGAAATATGAAGACTTTCAAGTTAAAATCCTGAAACGTTAGCAGCTGAGTTGGGACCATTGAGGTTTCTTTCACATCACACTATTGCAGGTGTCAGACTAAACTGTCTCAACTCTGCACACTGGGTTTGATTTCAGTATGAAGTGCAAGAAGACCAGCCTACTTGTGCCACAAATTGACAATTTGTATTTAAAAGGGAAGGAAGTTTTTCTCATCCACTATTTATATTTTTGTTAAGTTAATAAAATGTGACATTGACTGCACTGTCTGATTTCGTAACTTGTTTTCTTGCATGAGAATAACAAATCTGGATCTTTCTGTTCTAATTGTTCTTCTGCCCAGGGTTTGTGATGGTTATTGTTGCTGTGGTGATCATAGATGCTGGTTAAAAACAGTGGTGGTAAAATATTTTATAATGCTTTACAGCATTCTTTTTAGCACATTAGCTATCTCACACTTCAGTGAAAATGTGGTTCACTAAATCATCATGAATAAACCAATAAACCAATTACAAGGTTCTCAAGTGAAAGAATGAGGAATTTTGTTACTTGCAAACTTCAAGTCATAAAATACTACATCGAGCACATAGGCATTTCTTAACATTTTGTACCTAGTACAGCCATGAAGAATAAAGACCCTGCAGTTTTAAAAGTCCCTGGAGTCCTTGAGGTTAAGTTTTAACCTGTGACCATAATTGTTTAATTGATGAGTTGTATTCTCTGGTGGCAAAATATGCAGATAGGAGTTGTCAGTGAATGGATATTACTATAAACATTTGATCAGAGGAACCAGGAGAGCAAGAGCAAACCTTCCAGTTCTGGAATATGGGTCATCTATGTATCCCATGTCTGACTTTTTTTTTTAAAGCTGGGTAATCCACAGGTGATTTTCATCCCTCTGTGAAACTTCCAGAAAGATACGGATCAACGAGAGATACAAATCAGTGTTCCAAGTTCTAATATCTTTTTATAACTCTTAATTTCAGCTCAGATTGATTCTTGTTTATTGGTGGTTTCGTGTGCTCTGGTCTGCCTGGTCAGGTGACCACTGTGGTGATGACTCCTTGAGTCAGTGTTTCTCATTGCAAAAAAAAAGTCCTGAAAAAGCCCCAGATATTAAAATAAGATAAATTGGATCAATGGGTTTTTTTTTAAAATACTGTCATAAAACCAAAATTACACTTGAAAGGAGTAGCAATGAAACAATAAGAAATGGGAACAGCCCTCGAGCCTGCTCCACCATTCAATAGGAACATAACAACGGATTTGATATTCCTCATGGCTACTTTCCTGCCCTTTCCCCATAACTGTTGATTTCCCAACTGATCAAGAATCTATGTCAGCCTTAAATATAAACAAGGGCTCCCCCTCCCCCCCCCCCCCCCCCGCAAAGCACAGCTCTCTGTGGCAAGGAGTTCTGAAGACACTCAACACTTAGAAGAAATTCCTCCTTATTTCAGTCTTAAATTGGTGCCTCTCTATTCAAAGGCTACGTCCTAGACTCTCCCATGAGGGGAAAACATCCTGTCAGCATTCAGCCTGTCAAGACCTTCAAATCCTAGATGTTTCTGTGAAATCACCTCTCATTCTTCTAAATTCTAATTACTAGGGTCCCAACCTATTCAAACTTTCCTCATTGGATAATCCTTCAATACCAAGGATCACCCTAATGAACATTCTCTGAGCAACCTCCAAAGAAAACTCCATTTTCTGAAGAAGGGTCCGGACCTGAAACATCAGCTTTCCTGCTCCTCTGATGCTGCCTGGCTTGCTGTGTTCATCCAGCTCTACACCTTGTTATCTCCAATGAAATATGTTTCCTTAAATAAGGGGACCGAAACTGCTTACAGTACTTCAGATGTGGTCTCCCCAGCAGCTTTTATGGTTGCAGTAAGACTTCTGTACTGCTTTTTCAAAGGGTTCGGAGTATAAGTGTAAACATTCATCAGCCTTCCTGATTACCTGCTGTACCTGTGTGCTAGCTTTCTGTGTTTCGTGCACAAGTAACCCCACATCCTTTAGTGTTGCAGCTTTCTGCAGTGTTTTTTTTTTCATTTAAATAACACTATTCTTTTGTTCTCCCTTCAAAAATAAACATCTTTGCATTTTCCTACATTTTACTCTGTTTGCCAATTTTTTGCCCATTACTCAACCTATCAATAGCTTGCTGTAAACTTTTAAAATCCCTCTTGCAACCTATCTATCCAGCTATTTTTGTGTCAGTTGCAAATTTGGCGACAGTACATTCACTCCCTTGCTCCAGGTCATTGGTACATGATGTAAACAATTGCAGTCCCAGCAGTGATCCCTGTGGAACCCACGGGCCACAGGTCACCAACCTGAAAAAGAACCCCTCATCACCACTCACTGTTTCCTGCCTATGAGCCAATTCTCTATCCATGCCAATATGTTACCTCCAACACTGTGGGCTCTTATGACTTAACCTTTTGTGAGGTAACTTGTTGAATACCTTGTGGAAATCCAAATACAACACATCTGCTGGTTCTTCTCTATCCACTCTAGTTAAGACTTCCTCAAAACTCCAATTAATCAGATACTTTCCTATCATCTGTGTATCCTTGCTTACTATGATCTGCCTGTACTGCTCACAACAAAGCTTCTCACTGTACTTAGGTACACATGACTACAATAAATTAAGTCAAATCACTTTCTGTGCTCGATTAGATTATAAATGTTCAAAATGTTCTGCTGGTATTTCCTTAACAATCGATTCCAATACTTATCCAACAATGGACAAAGTGCTACTGGATATTAGATACATCACTTTACACCTTGAACCACAGAAGCAGTTCTAGCCAAGAAACTCTGGGAAAACAATCTGTACAATGCAAAAGAAAAAGGAGATTAGGAGAGAAGCAATGAAAATCGGGAAGGCAAATGGAACTATAAAATTAAATAATGGAATATGTATTAAAACAGTAAAGATTCTTACAGGCATATCAATATTAAAGCAAAGGCTGTGATGAGGATAGGAGTATTATTAGAGACTGCGTAATGTACCACATAGAGAGATGGCAGAAATAGTAAATAATTATTACACTTTGGTACTTACCAAGGCGATCAATCAGCTAGGCACATTGAATGATGATATGAATAATGCAATAAGCATTTAAAATAAGCAAGATGTTTTAAACAAACTAAATAAATTCAAGAGGACAAAGTTCTTGGTCCTGAGGAAGGGTCACCAGACCTGAAACATTAACTCTGATTTCTCTTCACAAATGCTGCCAGACCTGCTGAGCTTTCCCAGCAACTTCTGTTTTTGTTCACAACTTATAATGCGTTACACTGTTTCTAATAAAATAACCCGCAGAGTGACTCAATCTCTTACAACAAGGATGACATCAAATTTTGGTTGGGGATTGGAGGGATATGGTCAGTACTATGACGGTCTTCAATCTACAGGACATTATTTGCAGATTCTGAAAGTTTATTAGTTCACAGCAGAAATTCACCAGATAAATGGGAGGCCAAAGTATATCTTTGGATAAATTGGGAGCTTAATTATTACTTGGAAGGTGTGAAGCTAAGTAGGGTAGAAGGATAAAGAGATCTGGGAATGCTAATATATCAACAATTGAAAGTTGTGTCATAGGTTCTCAAGGCTATAAATAAAGCAAAATAAGTCTTGGGGTTTTATTTGTAGAATGATATTCTTAACAAAAATTGGGAATTTAGGATAAACCAGGATTGAACTTCAGTTAGAACACAGTTCCGGTTGCTTTATTTAGAAAAGCAGACCGAGGCACTTGAGAAGATAAAAGATTTACAAAGATGAAACTGGAAAGTTTGGGTCTGTTGCAAATGTCACTTTTAGGTGAGACCAAGGGCATATCCGTACATTGAAGACCTGGTAGAAGGAAAGTAGCAGTCACTTTGAAAATGGTACCGCCTGTAGTCTGAATAATTGAAGGAAGAAGAAACCAGGATTGAGAGGTTTGAATCATCCGAGGGGGTGGAAGGGACTAGGTGCAGTAACAGCCGTGGTCCCCTCCCCAGGGTTAGCCTCCCAGCTCCAGGAAGGACTGTTCGCTGGGCAAAGTGACAGGAGTAGCTGGAGATGGTTGCGAGATGACACCCCCCCAAACACTTCCAGTTGACAGCAGGGGCTATATGGAAATACTTATTAGGACAGGGCTGACAGGCCATGTTTCTTTTCACTTAAATAGGCTGAGGGGTGAACTCATAGAGGTCTTTAAATATATGAAAAGTTCTGATAGTCACTACAGGGAATGTGTTGTGGAATGTGTCATCACTTAGACACCATCAATAAAAGGCAGTCACCAAGAAATCCAAAAGAAATTTCAAATTTGGCCTAAAGATGTGAGAATATGGGCTTCACTCCGATAGGGAGTGGTTGATGTGACTGGTATTGATGCCTTTAAGAACAAGTTAGATAGGTTTTTGAGGAGAATATTTACAATGTGGATTTAGATAAAATATGAGAAGCAGTTTCAATGGAGAATAAATTCCAGCAATGGGTCAGATGGACTTTCTCTCTGCTGTATATCCTGCATAATATTAACAGCCAAAATCTTTGATAATTGATGGTTTAAATCTAGGTTGTATAAGTATAAAGAAATACAGTGGTTCACCCCAATGAGTTAACTATTCTCAGAGTTTTGCTTTCTTCTTCTGCACCAGTTCTACATCTACATCTGTTGCTAATCATCAACTTCTGTTTGATAAAACATATCTACACTGTGATCTTATGTTTGTATCTGGGCTTGCTCTCATTTCTTCATATGCAGCCCTGTCTTCAACAGAGAAGAAGCAAAATTCAACTTTTTTAGGACTTGCGTCTTGCAGCACACATGTAATGATAATATGCAATATTGATGGAGAAACTGCCAAAAGGGTGTCAGAGAAAAGGCACAGGTGCAGGTGGATGGTTCTTAAGTCTACCCACCAAATTAGCAAGCATTACAGTGTGTGGGGCTCTGGAGAAACTGAACATGTCAGAAACACCAGTGGAGAGAGAGGTAACATTTGATGTGTGAATTCTATCAGAACTGGTGGATATTATTGGTTGAACAGCATTTACAAATGAACAAAACAAAGAGAAAGAGGACATCTTTCTGTAACAACAAGGTGTAGAGCTGGATGAACACCACAGGTCAAGCAGCATCAGAGGAGCAGGAAAGCTGACATTTCGGGCCTAGACCCTTCTTCAGAAATGGGGGAGGGGAAGGGGATTCTGAAATAGATAGGGAGAGAGGGAGAGGCAGATAGAAGATGGATAAAGGAG